GGTCAAAGGACTTGGATAACGAACCTAAGGACGTGCTACAAAACTAGCTTTATATGTAATCTAATACGGATTCAATCTGGATTTAATAGAATCCGGATTGCCTGTCAAAAATAGGATCGAAACACTAATTCACACTATAATTCGCTCTCTGCCCATGGTTGTGTTATATATTTTTCAACAGCTCCTACTAATAATTCAAGCTTACAACGTTGCAAAGTTCTCTTTTTGTGATGAGATTCCTTTTTATAATACTAATTATTTTGATATCCATGCAAAGACAAAATAAATTCTGGAAGATGACAGCCTTGCTCTTTTAATTTTTGATGGTGTTCATCAAGTTTCCAAAGTAATATATTAAAATTTTCTAAAAACTGTTTGCCTATAGTAGTTTCTTTTCCATCTAACTATCTATAATTCAGCTCATCTAATTTATTAAGAACATTATTATATAATTTGTCATGCTTAAAATTACCAGATTTTGGTGGAGAAAGAGAACATTCTGTAGACTGAGCTATTATGATATTAAATGCATTCAATTAATTTTTAGAATAAACACTAGTTGATTGAGTTACTTTATCTTTAATTGTAAATTATATATATAAAACATTTTTTTCATTTTTTCGGCATAATTCCAAATTACTTTTAATACCTGATGCAAAAGTATTACATTGTTTATTTCCTACACAGTGAATTTTAACTTTTACTAACTCATTGACTTCATACTCAATATTAGCTTGTTGTAAAAAGTCTTGAAATGTAAGATAATCATCAATTTCAAATAAGACATCTGATATTATTATAGAAGGAATTTGAGACTCACACTTAACAGTCACAAATAGATACAACATTATGAATAACTGCTTGAAAATCTTTAACACAGTGTATACAAATATATATATGTGTTTAAAAAAATGATAGCGATAGGCTAATTGAATGGATTGAGTAAATTTGGATTAGTACACTTAATCCTTGTATTCATACATATATTAATATTAATTATTTGTTATGAAACCTGACTCTTATTTATTATGCACCCCTAACCCGTGTATAATTGTTGTAACCAACCAATTTCTTGTTACATCCATAGATATTAATTTTACACTTCAATAACTAAAGGTTTTTTAGAAACCTTGTATATATTATTTTATAAAAATTCCAAGTTTAAAGCTTAAAAATGTAATATTTTAGATAAAAAATTAATCGTGATTCATAATAATATCTTAAATCTACTCAGAGGCTCATATTTATTATTCGCATTCTCTTGATTTTCTAATATTTTTGCTTTTCTAATACTTCTTAATATCGTCATCCCTATGCCGATATACAACCTTCATGAACAGTTTTACTCAAGATCGATATTTTCTAAAAATAAACTACAAATTACACAAAAGTATGTCATTATGACAATCATCGTCACAATTAATTGTTTCAATCTACCCCTGCAGCACTTATCCCTGGCACTAACTACCTTTGGTTACTTTATCCAAGCTAATATTATTTATTTTAAATGGATATGCCGCAAAGTATTTGATTAAATTTTATTGGTCAATTTTAATCTTATAATAATCCAGTGTCGTGATTGGCTTGTTTAATTTCGGGGGGAAGTGGTAATCTCTGGGGGGGATGACGTTAGCCTAATAATCAACTAAAAACGGCCTTAGGATCATGATAATAATATTTAATAAAGTATTAAATGATTTTGTTTTCTTCGATTCTTCAAAATGTAAAACGATCGTTGCAATCTTTTAAAAAAAACATAAAATCCAATAACACAATATTCTAAAAAATATACATAGTTCACCGTAACCAAATTTCCACTAATGATAAATGAAAAAGAAATAAAATTATAAAATCTAATTAGGCAAAT